TGGATGGCGTCCTCGAGCTTGCGCAGAAGGGGATCAGAAGGCGAGCCGGCAGAGGAGAGCAAAACATAATGTAATAAAATAAGATAGAAATTAAGAAAAAAATAATAATGTAATAAAATAATAGCAAAATATAAAAATATGTAAAAATACCGTATAAGCTGTCAAATTTAAATTTTAAATTCAAAATTTGACATCTCCTTTAAAGATGATCTTAAATACATTTCCCACATTGGAATAATGGAATTAACATTTGATAGTCATGTTGAGTGATAAACCTTCATACCTTAAAAGGTCACGTTTTCTAGGCTTTAGCCTTCAGAACTTTCAAATCAAATCAATATCTTTTATTCCTTGATACCTTGGAAATGTGGAAGATAATTATATTAAATGAGTAAAGTAATCAATTGAAAGTTAATAAATATTCTTTGTTTTGAAAGTTGTGACTTAATGGAACTTTTACACAGAGAGACAAAAACTTTAATTATATTTCAAAAAACTTCATTAGTTTTTAAACATGTAAATGAGAGAGAAAAACATAAATAAAAAAACTAAAATCTACTCCAAAAATATGGAAACAGTATTTAAAATATAAGTCATACTCCTAAGACTTTAGGCTATTAATGGAACCCAACCTCTACAATAACAAAATTAATATGTGTCATAAGCTGAACTCATCATCGATTATTTCTACATAATCAGTTTGAATCCTTATTACTACAACCAGTTAAATCCCTCATCGACCATTTTTGCAGAATTAGTTCAACCCGTCCTCCACCATTTTTGCAGAATCAGTTCAATCCGTCATCCACCATTTTTGAAGAATCAGTTTAATCCCTAATCGACCATTGCAGAATCATTTCAACCCATCCTCAACCATTTTTGCAGAATCAGTTCAAGCAGTCCTCTACCATTTTTGCAGAATCAGTTCAATCAGTACTCGATCATTTTTGCAAAATTAGTTCAACCTCGTACTCAACTATTTTTGCAAAATCAATTTATCCCGTCTTCGACCATTATTTTTTTAGATTTTCCTGGCCTTACTCGGTGGACTTGGCCTTTCCATCTTGATGCTAACTTGCTAGAGTTTTCTAGCACATTTTCCATGCACCGACTGAGTTGGTGTTGGCCTTTTATCAAAAAACTAGTCATCTATTTGTAACAAAACGGGAAGTAAAAAAAACAAAAACTAACTGAAGTAGCTCACGGGTACATGGTGCACTATTGACCGCTAAGCTTGGCACAGAGTTGTTAGATTTGATTAGAAAATGAATGAGAACCCTAACTTTGATAGTAGAGTATAGTTGATGACTGGTCTAACTTCAGCAGAGCCTCCAAATTTTAATTTAGTGAGTATGAATTAACATGCCATTTATACTTTACGGATAAACTGCAATTTTTTTCTGTTAAACACAGAATGCATGCATCCAATTGATTGACCAAGAATTTTTTCATAGGAAGTATATATGTTTGTTTCTCCCATATCCAACCATGAGGGCTCATGAATTTAGATCATCAGTATAAGTGATTATTTTTATTAGGAAAAGCTAAGATCATCAGAATACGATGATAAGTTTTATTAGGAAAAGCCTATTAAACACGTAAGAAATACTAACGAAAAGTCTTTAAAAAATTTAATTTTAATGAAAAATGACAAATAAAGGTGTAGTGAATAGTACCAGAAAAAGGTAAAAATATGATTTTTCGTTAAAAGTAAACAGTACCGAAAATGTTTCATTAAAACTCTCTTAAATGACTAAGTTTAAACCAATTTAATAGTAATCCAGTAATTTGTTTCATTTGTCCATCAACTAGTGCAGAAGTAAGGCTAGGCCGAAATTCAAGTTTCGAAAGAAAGCATCAACATGTGCATATGCAGATTGCAAACCGGAATAGCCCAAGCAGCAATTTCGAAATCACAACAACCAAAACAATAACAAGACGAGCAGGATCTCACCTTATGAGTGAGTTGTAACCACCACGTGCAATATAAATGAAGCTGCTGTGCAGCAATGACATAGCGTCAGGGTGGGTCCCACGCTTATATATTTTTTTCCCTTCATCTTCCTTTATCTAGAAATTTTTTTTACTATGACAAAAAAATGGATAGTACATTATATGTTTTTATATAAGTAGTAAGAAATATTATTTTTTAAGTTATTAATTTTTTAATGCATGTATCCCACCATTTGTATAATAACATATGGTATACTACTTTGTATTCCAATCACACTAAAAAATCTCTTTTTTACCTATGAGATCTAGCTGTTCAACTTTCTTATTGAACTTTTTAATCTTGTAGTCCCTAAAAAGATGCCCCAATGACCGGATCCTTAAGATTTAAGAACCCAAAAAAAATAAAAAGCTGAGCGAAAGTGCCGAAGTGAAGGGGGAAAGGAAAGAAATAATAGAAAATGAGGGAGAAGGTACATCCCACGTGAAGAAGGAAGAAAGGTGGTAGACAGATTATGCGTGCGGCAGTATATCAGGATTAGGGTAGATTTAAAAACTAAAATATGAGTTTTACTCTCGAAAGTTGGAGTAGATCTAAAGAAGAAAGCAAAGCCACAACGTAAGGATGCTGTGCATATATTATTATTACGGGTAATGCTAGGGCAATTTCAGGCCACCCATTGCGCTCCACTTATGAAATCTTCGGTCACGGCTATGCATCCATGTCATTAGGCCTTCTCCACTTATGAAGTAAGATTCTCCAATTCTCTTTTTTTTCTCCTCCTTCTTCGTTTCCTATTTAAAATAATATGATTAAATCACGTTAATATTTTATATTAATTTTTTATAGAAAGGGAAATAAAATAAAAAATATGAGAGGAGGGAATTGAAGAGAATGAAAAGAGGAGGGGAGAGAATTCTGATCCCCACTTATACCTCTAAGTCAATTCATTGCTGTAGCTGGCCTCTTTAATTTGCCTCTTCAATGCTCTGCTAAGTTTGAATGGAAGAGGATCCTCTCCTGAGCTCAGGATGGGGATTCTTCTGACCAGCCCATATGGGCTATTCAAATTTAATCCAACGGTTGCAATTATTATAACTTTTAGAGGGTCTCCCTGTTTGGAACCATTTGATTAAATTTGAACGGCCTAGATGGGCTGGTCAAGAGGATCCCCATCCTAATCGCAGGAGAGGATCCCCATCCTAATCGCAGGAGAGGATCCTCTTTCGTATGTCTGATCCCCATCCTGAGCTCAGATGGATTTTCAATGGTAAAAAATTTTGAATTAGAATTTTGATCTGGACCGTCCGATCCACAAATCAATGGCCCATGTTTTTCCCCCCAAAATTTATAAAATAAAAAAAAGGCACAATGGTCAGAATTATCACCGTTGCCCACATGTCAACTTATAGGCTGTTGGATTTGAATATTTTTCAAATCCAACGGTCCAGATTAATTAACTAAATTAAAATTTATAAAAAATTGCTAAAAAATACAGAAAAAAATAAATTTTTTGTCTATAAATACGTAAGCCTCATTTTCCACCTTACACCATATTTCAATATTTTCTACACTTTCTACCAAAGCTTTCATATAATTTTTGAGAGAAAAAATGACTTCGTGGAAGCTTATTGAAGATGTTACATAATCTGAATGTTGGGTTCACACTACTCATGACCCGATTACGGGTAGTGAGATGGATAAGCGAGAAATGTGAAGTAAAATTACGAAAGCGTTTTGTGATGTACAGGGAAAAGACGCCAAAAGTAGTCAAGGTCTTCAAGGTCGTTGGAAAAAACTCAACGCATCATTTACTTGTTGGAAAAACGCCATCTCTCATGCTTTCAGCAGTAGATACGTGTATATTCTTATTTATTTTTATTAATAGATGTAATTTCTTATTTATTATTAGTACTTTATGTAATTTCTTATTTATTATTAGTACTTTATGTAATTTCTTATTTATTATTAGTACTTTATGCAATTTCAAATTTATTTTTTGTACTTTATTTAAACACATCAAATAAGATTACATAAACTCACCAAATAAACTTAAAAAAAACATACTAAATAAGATTACATAAACTCACCAAATAAACTTCAAAAAAAAAACACCAAATAAAATTACATAACCTCACCAAATAAACTTAAAAAAACAAACTAAATATGATTACATAAACTCACCAAAATAAACTTAAAAAACAAAAAACAAAAAAACACCAATCAAATTTACACAACCTCACAAAAAAAAAACACACTAAATAAAATTACATAAACTTTAAAAAAATACACTTTATTCTTCAACCAGAAGCTCATTTTAATTATCTTCACCTTCTTGCAATCCCCATTGGTGCTCAATCAAGTCATTCTAATGGCTTATGTGCCAGTATGGCTCTTGCACTAAAGTGTACCGCTCAATGATTCATTCATTGTAACGTCCATCCCGTTCCAACGGCTCGTGTTGCACGGGATCTTCGGTTCAGTCATGAGCATAGTAGATACGTGTTCTTGAGTTGTTCATCGCATCCAACTTGTATTCATTGACATCATCATAATCATACTCATCTTCCACAATCATGTTGTGGAGAATAATACACGTCATCATGATGGATCGAAGAGCCTCGACATCAAACATTCTAGCAGCAGCCCTAACAATCGCCAAACGAGCTTGCAGGATACCAAAACAACGCTCCACATCTTTCCTACACCCCTCTTGACATTTTGCGAAGTGTTTCTTTTTCACTCTGTGGATGTGGCACTATTTTGACAAACGTTGACCACCTTAGGTAATTGTCGGTTGCAAGGTAGTATGGTCCCTCATATTTATGGCTATTAACCCAATATGTGCATCTCGACGCTTTTCCTTACAGCAGTTCGTCGAACACTGAAGATTGAGCTCCTGGAACACCAAAAAAGCATGCCAAATCCATGTATCCAAAATAATGCTTTTGGCTCCTTTTCTATCGTCATAAGCTCATTGCGACTCACTTGGATAGTTTTTCCAAGTCCAATGCATGCAGTCGATGCTTCCAATCATGCCAAGGAAGCCTCAGATCTCATCCTTCCTCAGAAGCATTCGCATGTCCCTTGGCGTGGGTTTCCGAAGGTACTCATTGGTGTAGAGGGCTTCAATTGCAGAGGAAAACCGCATCAGGGACTCCAAAATAGTTATTTTTCCCATTCTCGCGATCTCATCAACTTGATTTGCAGGTGCTATATATGCAAGCATTCGCAAAGCAGTCGTAATTTTTTGCTTAGGAAGAAAACCTAGAACATGAAAAATATCCTCTTTTTGCACAAAGTATGGATCATGGTTGCAAATAGCACTCATGATTTTGTCAAACAAACTTCGTTGCATTCTAAAACGACGTCTAAAAGCACGATCAGGGAATACGTTGTTGGGAATAAAATAGTATTCCAAGAGATCTTTACCTTGTTTTCCCCTTTTTCTAATGAAGTTTGCAGCACGTCTGGGTTTGGCTATCTGACCCACAACTTTCATGACTCGGCAGGAATGTGAGGCTATATGCCTTCTAAGGTCATCATCGTCATCCTCCTCCATTACAAAAGCCTCATCTTCACCTCCACCTTCATCAAGATTGACCAATTCTTCCTATTATGCCAACAATCTTTTCTGTTGCTCCTCAAACTGTTTATACACTCTCCTTGAAGAAGACATTATAAGAACTCAATATTCGAAAACGATGAAGAATGATTCTAAGCTAAAACGAAGGATTAAGTTTGGTGTGAGGATGGATGTAGCGATGTAGGGTTTATATGGACAAAAAAAAGAAAGGATGAGGTTGTGGGCAATGCCATGTGGCATTACGTGATTGGTTGAAAATCTTATCGAAATTTTGGCTAAATTATTGTAAACAGATAGTGACACGTGGCGCGTCGGGATTGGTTAAAAATCTTATTGGAAATTTATTCCCAAAATAGTACGTTTGGATAATGACATGTGGCGTGATAAGATTGGTTGAAAATCTTATCGCAATGTTGGTTAAATTATTGTAAACAGATAGTGACACGAGACACGTCGGGATTAATTGAAAATCTTAGCGGAAATCTATTCACAAAATAGTAAGTTCGGATAATGACACATGACGTAACGAGATTGGTTAAAAATCCTATCCGAGATTAAAACTATTTATTTTTTTATTTTTTTTAAAAAAAAATTAATAATATTTTTAATGGGCTGGGTGCCAGCGCATTTTGTAGGGATGAAGATCGTTTGCGCCAACGTATTTTTTAGGGGTGAAGATGCATTTGGCCTATGACTGTTCATTGGGGTCTCACTGTTCATCAAGTAGATTAAATGAGGCGAGTGCTGGTGCATTTTTTTTAGGGTGGAGTTGCTCTTACGCGAGCCTAGCGTGCAACACCCTTGACTATTTCGGGCCGGAACTTTACACCCCCGCTTAATAATTCAACCCAAAAGGTGGTTTTAGTAATCGATACGCCAGTACGCGTGCATGGATCTAGGATTTTAGATAATGATTGTGCAAAATAATAATTAAGACACTCTCCAAAGAAGATGTCAAATCTTAAGTGAAATGTTAAATGATTAATTTGAAAGTAGAAGTAAACTTCAAATGATATGTCAATCCTATATGGATTGACATGAGTTTTCATATGTTAAATTTGACATATGAGAAAATGTGATATCAAATCATTTATAATTATTTTATTGTGTGAATTCTATTAATGCACTAATTATAGATCTTAAATTTTTTTTTAATTGGTCTTACATATATCATTTATAATAAAAATATATATCGGTTGAAAAAAAAAAAATTTGATATTATCACGTCAGTCATCAAATTAATATTTGACATTTATCTTTTGACATCTTATTTAAAAATGCTCTAACAAACTATATAAGTTCACATGAACCCTTACGCTATCAATAGTCAAGTGTGCCTCGTTCATACAGAACATTGATCGATGGGGCACGTTCGCTACATCTCCACAACCACTGTTCAACCCACACTCCAGAACGAGTCCACTCAGAGAATCGAGTTAACTCCATGGGATTTGCAGTTCATCCTATTCGGCTACAGCCAAAAGGGCCTTCTCTTCCACAAACCAAAACCCAGTACTTATGACAAGTACCCAAGCAAAAGCTTGATCCAACACCTACAAACCTCCCTCTCACTCACGTTGGATATCTTCTATCCCCTTGCTGGCCGTCTTGCCATCACCGAAAACGAAGACGACAACACTACCTCCTTCTCCGTCGATTGTAATGGCGCTGGAGCTCAATTTGTCCATGCAGTTGCTGATGGTGTCACGGTTGCCGATATTCTCGACCCGGTTTTGGTTCCCAGTGACATTGTTCACTCATTCTTTTTTTTGAATGGAGTTTTGAACTATGAAGGCGTGTCGGAACCCTTGCTTGCTGTGCAAGTAACCGAGCTGTTTGATGGCATTTTCATCGGTTGCACCACGAACCACTCTGTCGTTGATGGGTCAACATTTTGGCGTTTCTTCAATACTTGGTCGGAAATCTCTCGGCGTACAGAAACTAGTACTGAAAATTGTCGTAAAATTTCGCAGCCACCTCCCATTTTTAGCCGTGAGTTTTTTGACGGCGGAATCATTGATTTCCCGGTTCGAATTGCAAACTTTCACAATCAAGTCCCAAAAAATAGGTCTCCCGCACTATCCGCCCCCCTTCATCAAAGAATATTTAATTTTTCCAAAGAAAAAATTGCTCAACTCAAAGCCAAAGCCAATGCCGAGATGGGCACCACCAAGATCTCATCCCTTCAAGCACTACTGGCTCATCTTTGGTTATCCATTATCCGCAACAAACATCTCAATCCCGACCAAGAGAGCAAGTATACCTTACTAGTAGGCTTAAGACAAAGATTCCAACTGCCGTTACCTGAAGAATACCTCGGAAATGTGGTTCAATTTGGCACGGTGACATCCACTGTGAGCGATCTGCTCGAGCACGGACTAGGCTGGACGGCTTGGGAGATAAACAAGATGATTGCTTCCAAGACGAAAGACGAGGTGAGAAAGTATTTGGAGGAATGGATAGAGAGTCCACAACTTATCCAACTGAATAATTTGGCAAGTGATTACTCATTTGGGACGGGAAGCTCACCACGGTTCAATATGTACGGTAATGACTTTGGTTGGGGAAGGCCGCTGGCAGTTAGAAGTGGCGCAGCCAACAAGTCCGTGGGAAAGTTGACTGTAGCTCCTGGGGCTGAAGATGGAAGTATTGAGTTTGAAGCTTGTTTGTCACCTCAGACACTGCAAGCTTTGGACGAGGACGCAGAGTTCATTGCCAGTTTGTCCAAATGAACTTTTATTTTTAGGATTTCAGTTTCCTATTTTTTTTTCTTTTGCTTTTTGATGTGTCATTTCTTTCTTAATTGTCCTCCATTTTGAAGTAAAATTGTTCTAGACCATATTTGAAGCACAAGTTCCAAAAAAGATAAAATATGGAGTCTCAGTTAGAGAATTCCATATGTGGAGTCAAAAGGAGCCGGACTCCAAATTTGGTAGTTCCCACTTTATTATTGGAATCAAATTTGTAGGGAAAAGTTTATTTGAACCCAAACAACCTTACTCTACACTCAATTTAAATCTTAATTGTGAATTGTTTTCTTAGCCTTATTGTCTAATTACCATCAAGTACAAAATGAAATTAACACAAAAATAAAAAATTATCAATAAACCACCTTCAATAATCAAACCCTTATCATTACGCAATAATTTTTTTACGTTCTTGTTTGAACCCAAATTTACACCATCGGCCCGAGTAATCAAGGTCGTTCAGTAAGCATGTTTCTACATCGTCAATCGAAGAGTGAAGATAGAGGGATAATATTATGAATTTTATCATAATCATTATTCATCCTTTTCTTATACGGCGGAATAAATGGGATTTTCATTATCTCCAATGAAAACAACAACAACAGAGTTCGAATTAATTGTGGTTATGTGAAATACCGTGCAGCATTAGAGTTCTATCTTGCATACAGAACCGTGGGGGGCAATTCCACAATGTAATAGGATGATCAGCGCATTGAGATGATGTGGGGAATAACAAAAACAAGGTGATGTGATAGGATCATGGTGGTTTGCAGATAAAGCAAAAACCATTAACCATGTGTTTTAATAATCAGGACTTGGATCCTTTCCTGAGCCCAAGGAGAGGATCCTCCTGACCAAATGACTTGGGCCGTTGGATGAAAATCCAACGGCCACAAACAGGGGGTCCCTTTAAAGTTATAATAATTATAGCCGTTGGATTTTCATCCAACGGCCCAAATCCTTTGGTCAGGAGGATCATTTTCCTTGGGCTCAGGAGAGGATCCAAGTCCTAATAATCATGTATGCGTGGATAAAGCATATGTGGATGGGTGAAAGATTAGGATTGACCAAGCAAGAATTGGTGATGGTTACGGTACCGTCTAACAGGAAGTAAAGTTCCAAGTGACATGGTCTCTTTCGGGCATGCAAAAGATAACAATTGAAAAGCAATCTGTGGGGTTGTTGAAGGAAAATATTCTAAGGAATATTATTTTGATAGCCTGGATGCCGCGGCAGATAAACTTCAACATGGCTAGTAAATAGTAATATAAATGCATGAGGCTGTGCATCATTCGAGAGGCCCTTTGAATTCAACACACAACTACTCTACGCAAATTCTCTCAACAACCTTGAGACCTTTTCCTTTTCTTTTTTCGCCGACACACCTTCAGTTTGGATAAACAGCATTGTGAATGCAACCGGTGATATTTTCAGTCGGTATAGATAGCATTGTCACCGTAGAACAAGCCGGTCTCACATCATCTTCAGTCGGCATAGATAGCATTGCGTCGATGGTGACTGGTTATCTATCTAAGTCTCGGTCGAAAAGGATTTCTGAATCCTTATTGGTCGAGGTCATCTCATTAGTCTTCTCGGCAAAGTGAGGTGTTACAGTTTATTAGGCTCGACACATTGCACGCCGAGTTAGTTTATGATTGGATACTCTCAAGTGGGATTTAGAGTTCAACATTCCAACGGCCGAACCACGTTTATTGTTAAGACATATATCCGCTTTGAGTATTTGTGCCCTTACACTTTGGTGTCGATTCGGCGTGAGTTTACTCAAACGAATACCATCACTGTGACCGAATCTGACGATGACGATTTGTGAACTTCGTAAGAATAGTAGCCTTGTCTTCAGGTTTGAGAACCTAAGAGGCCGAGACGTGTTCCTTCCTCGATCGCAATCGCAAGATGCAAAAGTCGGTCGCGCACTCAACACAACATCAGCATATTTTACTCCTCGGCTGAGCTCGGCCGATGAGTTAGCACGCCCCGCATTCAACCGAAGGACGTAGTTAGCTCATAAATTACTTGGCATGCGCGCCACGTAGGCTTGGTAGTTTTTAGGGTCAACAGTTCTATTTTAGCCAAAACCCTAAGACGTTTTCAAAGAGAAAAATAAATTCTTTTTGACGAATAGATAATAATTTTGAAGTTTTAAATAAAATATGAATCAATTATGTTAATTTTTTATTTGATTTAAATTCTTTTTGTTTAGGTTTTTTA